TAGAAATGTTTTGGTTATAACCAGTAAAGACAATACAGCAACACATACAGGTACTTGTAATTGTACACCGCAAAACAATTTTAAATATTTGCAGGCAAAGCCACTACTTCACTTTTGTGACTATGATGCTGCATATACTGCATATATAGAAAGCATCATCTGCATAACCTTGGATGTGAACATCTAGCTTTTGTCATCCTTAACTTGATGGTTGTTTAATGATGGTGAAAGGTATTGTACTCAGATTGCAAACAGCAAAGCATATGGAACTACCAATAACACAGGACATGAAATAAATCCCTTCCTTTTTCTAAAGAAGAAAGAATAAATATGTTTGCGCAACAATTGAATTGAAACATATGTGGAATAATAACATCCTGTAGTTTGAGGAGAATCATTTTTTCTCAGTGGCACTTTTGACATGCAACAGTAGATAAACAGGTGTTACTGTATCAGTGATGTTCAATAGGTTCAGAGCCATAATTGATTTGAATCACGTGTACTTTCTATTTCATGTCAAAATGGCTGCTCTATTGCTTTCTAAGGTCTATTGCTTCACACAAACCAGTCACTGCAATGAATTCTATGAAAAAGGTAAAGCTAAACACTAAGTTAATCTCTTTCACTGTCCAGCTTCCCCTTTATTATTCCTTTGACAAGCTTGATCTATAGCAGACAAGACCTGCAGGTAAAATTCAAAGAACTGACTATGGACTTTCCCCTCAATTTGCTTTTTAACACATATACAACCCAACAGGAGGTTCTCTGCATAGAGCTGCATTATTCAGGCGAGAGGTGGAGCAGGAAGTAACGTATAATCTCGACTGCAGAGATCACGTCATTTTCTTTAAAACACACAGACACCTGTCTTTCTTCTTCCTTTCTGTTCTTCTTCCTTTTTGCGTCTGTTGCGTGTTAGAAGCATCATCAACCCCCTCACATCGAATTCTTATGAATTTCTACAGACTTCATACTAGGAGGTCAGGTGGAGAAAATCCACAGACATTGCGGAGCCTCTAACTCAGAAATTTACATTCACACATGTACGTCCTCTGCGGAAAATACAGGAGATCTGCCAAGTTCAGTGCATGTGTGAAAGCAGCTTTTTTCTTTTGCCAAGTTTCCATAGTTACTCTAGTTATCTCCACTACGAGGGGAAAGATACCAAGGCAAGGGAACCAATCTAAGTGACAATGGTGTCACTATTATAGCAATTGCTTGTGCCATTAACACTGACTTCAAGAGGAGTTAAAGCAGAACAATTGCAACATAAAAAGAATTGTGTACCGAGCTCAATGATGATAATGCTGTGTTGCAAGGATATATTTACAAATTATCTAAACTTTATAGACTTTCACAAATACACAGCACATGTTACAGTATAAATACAACGTATGGCACCTCAGTTCCAAAAAAGATATACATGTATTATCCCACAGCTGTAATAAATACTCAATTATAAATCAAAGCTAATAACTAATTCAAATGTTAATTGGATAAATGGACTCACGGTTCTGTTATTACTAATCAATGGTACCCATTAATGGCTGCCTTTCTGTGATAGAGTTTTAGTTTCACCCAATATTTTTCAACTTTACTTCCACTATGGCATTTTATGTACTATTAGCCATACATGTACATACCTTGAGCAAATTGTTGGCTACTCTCTACAAAGGATCGCTCCCTTCCACATCCAACCACCTACGTATATGTCTTTTCATGGACTGAGCTACGGACATTCAAACCACATTAGCAGTTTATCTAATTGAACTGTCTTACTACCCGTCGAATGAATTATTGTTTGACTAAAAATCAGAGAGAATTGTTGAACTTAATTATTATTTAGGTGTAAAAGTTTTTTCCTGGCTCCAGCAGGTCACTGACAAGTGTTGAGTCCTTTATGTCAAGTAACTTATTTTTTATGTAAAACTGTATGAACCTGAGCAAGACTGTGTTGATACAAAGACAAGGAAAACTCTGCCATGTGACCAGTGTCAGACTAAGGGTATAGACCTTATTGTTACCAGTGATGAGTGATGACAAAAGAGATTTCACAGCTGTGACCTTGGCCCTGTCTTGCCTTACAGACAGCTGCAGCTCTTTATTCTCCCTCTTGAAATGTATTTCACACCCTATCACTGGTCAGATGATTGTTGAACTTTAGAGGTTGGGATGTTTGATGCCCCATAAATCGTCCTTGTCCAGTAGCCGACTTTATTTAGTTACATTATAAAGATAGTCAATGAAAAACCTGCACAGATTAAGAATAACCATAGTGGACAAGGGAATTTCTAGTCCATTTATTGTATTGTGTTATTGCTTATTTTATGTTAAACAATAAACAAACCTACAAACTTGTTTACTGTAATTACGTTCATTAATTGAATCTATACCATTTGTCATTAGGTTTATTGTAATTCCAAAATTACTTTATGTTACTTAGGCGGAAGAGAATGAATTGATTGACCATAGCCTCCCAGCTCTCTCGCCTCCTGCCTCCCCCTTTTTTGTCATTGTCCAGTCTGGCCTTGTTCACAAGGTTAGAGCAACAAATAGCAGCACTGGGCTCTCCCCAATTTGGAGAATGCTTTTTGTGAAAGGCAACCTGGATGCCATTTCTTTGATATTCATCCCCTTATTTGGTTCACTTACAACCTTTATTAATGGAGAGGACACCCAGTGTCAGCTACTGGATCCATCATTTCACTTGACACAGGTTGACGGTTAAAGGTAAGACAAACCCACTTGAGTGAGGAAGTGCTGTTTGATGTGAGTGAACATTTTGTATAGTGTTTGTTTAGGTGTCGGTCTGGGTCAAGTTACTCTCAACTATATTTAGATAGTTTGTTGTGCCAATTGAGTTGGGGGAGGGGGTTTATGATACATTTGGTGAGAAGTGTATGATTGATTTTTTTTCACAAGTTATACTTGATTCATCTTTATTAAATAATGACTTAATACGACATTTGTTCTGCTTCTGTCTATGTTAAACAAATAGCACAGATTCTATATTCCTGGTTGGAAACACATCGGGTAAGATCCACAGCTACACTCATGTCACATTTTTCTTTATGATGCAATACAACAATAATTAATCCAATCATTTAAAAATCATCCTGCTTTTGTGTTGCAAACATGCAGATTAATCCCTTTTTCAGACATTTTGTTTGCCATTATAGTGTGACATAACAGAAGACCTGGGATATTCTGTTTTAACTCATATAAAAAATAAACCCCCATCTATTTCAGCTTACTTCATTCTATATTCATATCAAAAGGAGAACATATAAAAGGTTACTTGCTTACAATAACAGGAATATGACTATGACTATTTCTTGTATTGTGATAAAGACAGTGTGTTTGTATATTTTCATGGTGCCATTATGTCTGTTTTGTATAAATTGGTCTTGAACATTGTGATTTTCTTGGGTCTTTAATGAATTATCGTTGGGTCATACATAGATGTTCAAAGAAAATCACAGGCCTTGACTATTACATTTTTTATATTGTTTTGTGAATCTTGGATGGTGGTGGTGGCTCTTGATAGTGGTGGCATCTGATCTTGGATTATTTTTCACAGGACACAACATACTCTTCCATTACTTACAATAACTTTTCAATTTACTTTCCACTATGTTACAAATTATTTATCCTAATCAATGTTGTAAATATTGTAATTTTGTTGATGTTCTCTGTTACACTCTGTCCTTCCTGGGAGAGGGATCCCTCCCATGTGGCTCTCTTTCTATGTTTTTTCCTTGTTGATAGTTNGTGTGTGTGAAAATGTTCCAGTGTGTTCATCACACAGAGTCAACTCAACTGTCACCAGGGTTAATAGGGTTTTACTCTTGTTGAGGACAGAGGATATCGCCCCTTGTTTAGCCCTATGAGACAAATTATAATTTGAGAATATGGGCTATACAAATACAATTTCATTGATTGATTGAGTGATATTTTCAATAGGGTGAAAAATGGGGGATGCTCTCATGGCAGAATTTGGGATCGCTTCTTCTTTTCTGAGAAAGTCGGATAAGGAGCGGCTGGAGGCCCAGACTCGAATATTTGACATGAAGAAGGAGTGCTTCGTTCCTGACCCTGAGGTTGAGTACGTCAAGGCTTCCATCACCAGTCGTGATGGTGACAAAGTCACTGCTCAGACTGAATATGGAAAGGTAGTTACATCGTATCAGTTCAGTTCAAATGCATACTAATACAAGTCTGGACCTTTGTTTTAAAGTGTGTTATCTCTTTCTGCAGACTGTCACAGTGAAGGAGTGCGATGTTCACCCTCAGAACCCGCCAAAGTTCGATAAAATTGAAGACATGGCGATGTTCACCTTCCTCCATGAGCCCGCTGTGCTGTTCAACCTCAAAGAGCGTTACGCAGCATGGATGATCTATGTAAGACTGCACCATTGTTATAACTATATAAGTTATTGCATCATCTGAAACCACTACACTACAACCATGATGTCTGTACAATTTGATGACTTATGTGTAATCCATTTCATTGTATACATTTTTCACACTGTAAAAACACTGTTTGCATGTGTTACTTTTTATTGCATTTAATAAGTATTGCATGTTTACTTATTATCACATTACTGATGCCTATTATTGACTTTGTTCCTTGCTACTGTAACATGTCAAATGTCCTCGATGTAAGACTAATGAAGAATTGTCTTATCTTATTTTATCTTATTCTCATAGACCTACTCTGGGCTGTTCTGTGTGACTGTCAACCCCTACAAGTGGCTGCCAGTCTACAACAAAGAAGTAGTTAATGCCTACAGAGGAAAGAAGAGGAGTGAAGCTCCTCCTCATATCTTCTCCATCTCTGATAATGCCTACCAGTACATGCTGTCAGGTACGTTATCTGAATTGTCCATCAGCGTCTTTAAATATTTAGTTCTGACATTGTGGTACTTTACCTGATATTTTGATCATTTCTTTTGCTGACAGACAGAGAAAACCAGTCAGTCCTTATCACGTAAGTATCAGCCAACAAATATCTCCTCAATGAATAAGATAAAAATCGGTCTTGGTTCAAAACCTTTCTCCTCTCATTAGTGGAGAATCTGGTGCTGGAAAGACTGTAAACACCAAACGTGTCATTCAGTACTTTGCCAGCATCGCAGCTGCACCAAGTGGGAAGAAAGATCTAGCTGCTGAGAAGAAGGTTGTACTTCATCACTATATCTTAATAGTAAACTACTAAAATATTGATCAGTTGGCAGTAAACTTAAGTCTTGCCCCTGTTGAACAAATTCAGGGTACCTTGGAGGATCAAATCATCCAGGCTAATCCAGCTCTGGAGGCCTTTGGTAATGCCAAGACCATCAGGAACGACAACTCCTCTAGATTTGTGAGTGTCTATTTGACTGCAGTGAATTTAGTGTATTATAATCAATTGAACATTAACATTTAAATATTAATGAGCACTACTTTTCCTCTTAGGGTAAATTCATCAGAATTCATTTTGACAACAGAGGAAAGCTTGCCTCTGCCGACATTGAGACTTGTGAGTAAAAGTAAATGTGTCCATACATCCATTTTTTAAACCTCCTGTCCTTATAACTGTAATGTGGGGCTGAAGCCAATCACTGCATGTGGGGGAGAGAATACACCAGGGACAGGATTCCAGTCTATCACAGGGCTAACATGTATGTTACACATGTTACACATTGTAAGAAAAAACAATGTACACTGATTCAAATGAGATTTCAGCCTATTACATGGTAACGACACAGCCAATGTTCTGTCCATGTAAAACTAAATGATGATCTAAAAATGTATTAAACCATAGCCAGTCAAATTGTTGCCTCTCTAAGCAGTATGTTTCAGAGAATTTGTGTAAAACCCTACAAACCTAACACAACACAACATATTTTACACTTACAGACCTTCTGGAAAAGTCTCGTGTGACCTTCCAGCTCAAAGCTGAGAGGGACTACCATATTTTCTATCAGATCTTGTCACAGCAAAAACCTGAACTTCTGGGTAAGTGTTCCACACAAATGTGATACATGGTTGTTACTGCATCACACATTTTATCGTAAATAAATATTTATTATCTTGTCAAACATCTTTTTAGAAATGTTGCTCATCACCAACAACCCCTATGACTACGCCTTCATCTCCCAAGGAGAGACAACAGTAGCATCTATCAGTGATTCTGAAGAACTGATGGCCACTGATGTGAGTTTTTGATTCACAACAGTAAACAGTGATTTGTCAACAACAATTTTAAACAATACCAATAAGGGGATACCAGAATGAAATTTAAAAAATCTCAATTAGGACGCTTTTGATGTGCTGGGCTTCACTCAAGAAGAGAAGAACAGTATTTACAAGCTGACCGGTGCCATTATGCACTATGGCAACATGAAGTTCAAGCAAAAGCAGCGAGAGGAGCAGGCTGAGGCTGATGGCACTGAGGGTAAGAGGATCTGTCATAGTGTTATACATAGATGTGTATGAAATCAACAACGATTATTATTATCATCATACTTTGGCATTGATGGCTTTGACATTTGCCATTTTTTCATTTGTGTCAAAAAAAGCTGGTTTAAAGCACTAATCAAGCTTACAATGTAAACATTGTTTTGAAAGCAAGCTGAACTAACAAGTGGTGTTTATTTCTGCTGCATGCTTTTTTTGACAGAAAAGAAATTCCACCATTGAACTGGTATGTTCATGATGAATGCATGCCAAATACATTAATGATTAATCAACAACAAATCCTCATTATTTCCATAGAAAACTGGATTCAGTCACAATTACATTTGCTAAAAAGTGTATTTTCTGTTGGTTTTAATTTCAAGGAGACAGGATTGCATAGAACACATGTTCAATGTCTGGTTTAAGAGGTAAAGCTGTATGACTTGATTACCTGTCTTCATTTTCTCAGTTGCTGACAAAGTCGCATATCTTATGGGCCTGAACTCTGCCGACCTCATCAAAGGTCTCTGCCATCCGAGGGTTAAAGTAGGAAATGAGTGGGTCACCAAGGGACAAAATGTCGCCCAGGTAAAGAGTAGAAGGGGACCTTTTGAGGATAGTTTCATACATGTA